GGAGAATCGCGGGGTGTGTGTGTGTGTATGTGTGTGTGTGTGTGTGTGTGTGGAACGTCCCGTCCCTGGGCGGGCTGACTTCTCTTGCAGCTGCCACGCTCCACGCAGAGGGAGAAGGGAGGGGCTGGGAGAACCCCGAGCCTCTGCCGAGAAGGTGAAAGAAAGGCCAGGAGAAAGCCAGGAGCCAGTTACCCCGTCTGAGGTGAGCAAGGTGTCAGGAGACCCGGGCACCCAGCACCCACCCTGCCCTTCAACGCCCTCGGCCTCGGTTTCTCCAAGAAATAATCTCTAAACGGTCACCTGCTGATAGGAGCCGCACCCAGGCGGGTGGAGTTTCCGTGGTGATTAAAAGACTCTGACGCCGGCTTCTCGCATACAACGGGCGCTTAACTCGGAGCTTCATCGTCCCTGAATCGGCCCCCAGCGAGCCGGCGCCCAGGCTTCTCTGGAGGAAGGGCTCCCCCGAAGCTAAGCCTGACGGCTCCCCTCCCCCCGGGGGCGGACCAGGCGCCGGCGGGCGCTGGCCCCTCACCGCCCCGCGCTCCGCACCACCGCGCCCAAGGCCAGGCGTGTGCGGAGGGGGCCAGGGTGCGTCCCTCACACGTGCGAAGGTCACGGCTCTGCACACCCCCCGCGTGTCCCCGCGTGAGCCGCCCCCTCCTCCCGAGCCCCAGCTCCGAACTCGGCTCCTCTGCCGCCCAGCGCATGGGCCTGCGTCCCGGGAAGAGGCTCAGCGGGAGGTGCAGCCGCTGAGGGTCACGCACCTCCTTGCTGTGTTTTTTTTTATTAAAAAATATTTTCATTGGTTTCAGAGAACCAGGGAGAGGGAGAGAGGGAGAAACACCAAAGGCTGAGAGAAATCCTTCATCTGCCGCCTCCTGCGCGCCCCACACAGGGGATGGAACCCACAAAAACAAAGTAAAAACGAGGCGATGTGATATAACGGCAGAGTACATACGATTTATCACAAGGCAGGCTGTGATCAAGGTAGAGGTACGTTTCAGAAGCCACAGAGCAACTGCACACACGCATGGAGGGAACAGGTAGGAGGCTGGCCAGCCAGTGGAGAGGAAGTGGGAACCCAAAGACTTTGGTCAACCTAAGGGCAGGCGAGAAGGGGAACTGGAACGGAGAGCAGGCCTGTCAGAAAGGAAACAGAGACTGAGATGGTGCCTGCCCACGGGCTGCCCTCTGCCACGAAAAGCCAGACTGGTCAGAGGGGGCCAAAAGTGCTTATACAACGTGCTGCTAATAAGAGACACTTCAAATATAGGGACAGGGACAGGGCGAAAGGAAAGGAGCCATTGTCATTAGAAAAGCAGACTTGGGGAAAAGGAGAGTTGATAGAGGCCAAAAGGGACATTTATCTATATAAAAGCCTAAGCAACCGAATGACCGGTGGATGGGTCGCTATGACACACACTGACCACCAGGGGACAGATGCTCACTGCACAGGATCGAGCCCCTTCCTGTCTGGATCAGGCCAAAACTGGCTACCTGACATTCCCCCGAGGGGTCCTTGTGAGAGGGCGCAGGCCAGGCTGAGTGAGGTGCACGGTGCACAAATCCATGCACCTGGCCTCTAGTTTTTTTTATAATAGTAACAACATACAATCTGAATGCGTATGAATTTAATTATAGAGTAACGGGCAAAAAAACCCCCAAACAAGTGGATAGAACAAAGGGATTAGCCAGGCCCACAATTGTAGCTGTAGATTTCTTTTTCATTGCAATTATTTATTATTTTTTACAAAGCATAGTTTATTGATTATGAGAAACATCATAACCTCCATCGGCTGCCTCCCGCACACCCCTCCCACCCATAGGGATGGAGCCTGCAACCCGGACAGGTGCCCCGACCACGGACGAAGCCCAACCAGCGGAACGGCGCCGGCCAGGGCTCTAGTTGTAGATTTCAACGCTCCTCTCTCAGTAATTGTCGGAACAAATAAATAAAGACCAAGGAGGTGGAAGGTTTGGACAACACGATCACCACGTCACCCGGTGGCATCTATTTACAAAACCCTGCAGCCAACACCTGCAGACGCTGCAGAATACAGAGGCATTTCGAATGTCCGTCACACGCTCACCAGCACCTTCTGCTGGGCCATAAAACAGGTCTCCACAGCTTTGTAAAGATTAAAATTATGAGAAATACGTCCTCTGACACAAGGAACTAAACGAGAGACGATAATTTAGAAGCTCCTGGAAAGCCCCCAGATCCTGGGAAGCTGAACGGCAGTCCTAAGTAACCCATCGATCACAGAAGACAAAGGAAGAAAAAACTGAAAATATTCCGACTTGAATAGAAATGAAAACAAAATACCAAAATGTGTGGCATGCAGCTACACCGATGCTCTGAGGGGAAGGTACACATCTAAATGCTTCTGTTAGGAAAGAAGGATGATTGAAAACGAGCGTTCTGAGCCGAGACCGGTTTGGCTCAGTGGATAGAGCGTCGGCCTGCAGACTGAAGGGTCCCGGGTTCGATTCCGGTCAAGGGCATGCACCTTGGTTGCGGGCACATCCCCGGTAGGGGGTGTGCAGGAGGCAGCTGATGGATGATTCTCTCTCATCGATGTTTCTAACTCTCTATCCCTCTCTCTTCCTCTCTGTAAAAAATTAATAAAATATACTTAAAAACAAAAAGAAAAAAAGAAAGAAAACGAGGTTCTGAATGTCTACACGAGGACGCAGGAGAGCCGAGCAGAGGAACGGCGATAAGAGTGGGAAAGCAAGAAAAAAAGAAAATTCAGAGCAACGTGGGAAAATCAATGAAATTAAAAGCTGGTTCTTTGCGAAGATCAACACGATTGATAGACCTCTAGCTAGAGCGAGTAAGGGGGAAAAAGGGACGAAACGAAATTACCAATATTAGGAAGAGGAATGAGCTGTCACTGCAGACTCTCCGGGCATCGGGACCATATTTTGGAAATACTAGAAGCCTGCTGCATGAAATTCGTGCACTTGGGGGGGGTCCCTCAGTCCGATGGCGAGACGGCCCAGGCTAGGCCGAAGGACCCCACCAGTGCACGACTGGGGCCGGGGAGGACAAGGGAGGCTGACCAACTGGGAAGGGACAGTGAGAGGGCTCCAGGGCATGCCCGGCCCATCTCGCTCAGTCCTGATAGGCTGGACCCCAGCAGCAAGCTAACCTAGCTGTCAGAGCGTCTGCCCCCTGGTGGTCAGTACATGTCATTGCGAGCGGTTGAGCGGCCTTAGCATATCATTAGCATATTACACTTTGATTGGTTGAACGGACGACTGAACAACCAGACACTTAACATATTAGGTTTTTATTATATAGGGTCATAGAAAACTTTACGTCCACAGATTCTACAACATGAGTGGTGAGGACACAGTGATTGGCAAGACACACATTCCCAAAACTGACCTCGGAAGAAACAGACAATCCTAGTGAGCCGGCTCACGCACACACGGCACATTTTAAAATCGTTATCAGAAACCCTCCCACAGAGAAAGCCCCAACTTCCACGGCTTCACCAGCGAATTTTGTCAAACCTTTAAGGGAGAAATGGCTCATCTACACCCACTCTGTCATAGACACAAGGACAACTCTCACCTCCTTTCAGTGGCCGGCCTGCCCCGGTGCCGAGGCCCGGGAGGGCGGCCCGCGGCCGAGCTGCCCGAGGGCTCCCCGTGGCAGCACACACGCCCAGGCCCACGCCGAGGGCTCCCCGTGGCAGCACCCACGCCCAGGCCCACGCTGAGGGCTCCCCGTGGCAGCACACACGCCCAGGCCGGGATCCGCTCTCCGTGGCAGCACACACGCCCAGGCCCACGCCAAGGGCTCCCCGTGGCAGCACCCACGCCCAGGCCCACGCCGAGGGCTCTCCGTGGCAGCACACACGTCCCAGGCTCAGAGCCGCTCTCCGTGGCATAACACACGCCCAGGCCCACGCCGAGGGCTCCCCGTGGCAGCACACACGCCCAGGCCCACGCCGAGGGCTCCCCGTGGCAGCACACACGCCCAGGCCCACGCCGGAGGGCTCTCCGTGGCAGCACACACGCCCAGGCCCACACCGGAGGACAACTGCAGTGAGAGCATCACTTATTTATCCGTTTTAAACCTATTTTATTGATTTCAGGGAAGAAGAGAGAGAGAGAGGAAGAGGGAGAGAGAAACATCCATGATGAGAGAGAACCATGGATCGGCTGCCTCCTGCACGCCCCACACTGGGGATGGGGCCGAAATCCAGGCCAGTGCCCTGACCGGGAATCAAACCCAGGACCCTTCAGTCCACAGGTGGCTCTGTCCACTGAGCCACACCAGCCAGGGTGTGTGGAAGGTTCACAATCAGCTGACGGACCGCAGGAGACCGGTGCCGAGGCCCGGGTGAGCGGGTCTGAGCCGCGCGGCTGGGACCGGATCCGGGTCAGTTCGGCCTCCGCGCCCACCACCCCTCCCAGCACCAGGCGGCGAGCGCTCGGCCTCCCCAGCGAGTCAGCGGGGCGGCCCCGGAGGCACGCCCTCAGGGAGGCCCCGAGCCGGGGGCACGTGGGGAGTAACCAGGAGTGATGGGATAGAGGCGACTTCCCTCTCCCCGCCCGCGGGACGAATCCCCGCTGTTTACATGCAAAGGTCTCCTGCCTCCTGCGGCAATAAATAACCAATAAACAACCAATAAGTAACCAATAAATAACCCGCTCGTCACTCACCCGCCCAGGTGCCTGGCTGCTTCCTGGCCGCCTCCCGTCCCGCTGGGTTCCATTCACCCTCGGAGGACCCAGGCTGGCAGGGGGTGAGCACAGAGCAGCGGGACGGCAGACATTAGCCGCCACGAGGAAAAGAGGGGGCGCCCATGAAGAACCCCGCCATCTGCATGGGGGTGACAGGGAGGCCACAGACCAACACTCCGAGCAGCTCCCGTACAGCCGACACCGTCTGCAGGGCGCCCTCCCTGCTGTCTCCTGGTCTCCCCCACTTGTCATCTCCCCGACACAGTGCTCCCCGACACTGAGTGCTCCCCGACACCCAGCGTCCCCGACACCCTGTGCCCCCGACACCCTGTACCCCCGACACCCGGTGCCCCCGACACCCTGTGCCCCCGACACCCTGTGCCCCCGACACCCTGTACCCCCGACACCCAGCGTCCCCGACACCCAACGTCCCCGACACCCAGCGTCCCCGACACCCTATACCCCCGACACCCTGTACTCCCGACACCCTATACCCCCGACACCCTGTACTCCCGACACCCTGTGCCCCCGACACCCTGTACCCCCGACACCCTGTGCCCCCGACACCCTGTACTCCCGACACCCTGTACCCCCGACACCCTGTACCCCCGACACCCTGTACCCCCGACACCCAGCGCCCCCGACACCCTGTACCCCCGACACCCAGCGCCCCCGACACCCTGTACCCCCGACACCCAGTGCCCCCCGGTGCCCCCGAAACCCGGTGTTCCCGACACCCTGTGCCCCCGACACCCTGTACCCCCGACACCCTGTGCCCCCGACACCCTGTACCCCCGACACCCCGTACTCCCGACACCCAGTGCCCCCCGACACCCAGCGCCCCCGACACCCTGTGCCCCCGACACCCTGTACCCCCGACACCCGGTGCCCCCGACACCCTGTGCCCCCGACACCCTGTACCCCCGACACCCTGTACCCTCGACACCCAGCGTCCCCGACACCCAGTGTCCCCTACACCCGGTGTTCCTGACACCCTGTGCCCCCGACACCCTGTGCCCCCGACACCCTGTACCCCCGACACCCAGCGTCCCCGACACCCAGCGTCCCCGACACCCTATACCCCCGACACCCTGTACTCCCGACACCCTATACCCCCGACACCCTGTACTCCCGACACCCTGTGCCCCCGACACCCTGTACCCCCGACACCCTGTGCCCCCGACACCCTGTACTCCCGACACCCTGTACCCCCGACACCCTGTGCCCCCGACACCCTGTACCCCCGACACCCTGTGCCCCCGACACCCTGTACTCCCGACACCCTGTACCCCCGACACCCTGTGCCCCTGACACCCAGTGCCCCCGACACCCTGTACCCCCGACACCCTGTACCCCCGACACCCAGCGCCCCCGACACCCTGTGCCCCCGACACCCAGCGCCCCCGACACCCTGTACCCCCGACACCCTGTGCCCCCGACACCCTGTACCCCCGACACCCAGCGCCCCCGACACCCTGTACCCCCGACACCCAGCGCCCCCGACACCCTGTACCCCCGACACCCAGCGCCCCCGACACCCTGTACCCCCGACACCCCGTACTCCCGACACCCAGTGCCCCCCGGTGCCCCCGACACCCGGTGTTCCCGACACCCTGTGCCCCCGACACCCTGTACCCCCGACACCCTGTGCCCCCGACACCCTGTACCCCCGACACCCCGTACTCCCGACACCCAGTGCCCCCCGACACCCAGCGCCCCCCGACACCCTGTACCCCCGACACCCAGTGCCCCCGACACCCTGTACCCCCGACACCCAGTGCCCCCCGGTGCCCCCGACACCCTGTGCCCCCGACACCCAGTGTCCCCAACACCCGGTGTTCCTGACACCCTGTGCCCCCGACACCCAGTGCCCCCCGGTGCCCCCGACACCCTGTACTCCCGACACCCTGTACCTCCGACACCCGATGCCCCCGACACCCTGTACTCCCGACACCCTGTACCTCCGACACCCGATGCCCCCGACACCCTGTACCCCCGACACCCTGTGCCCCCGACACCCTGTGCCCCCGACACCCAGTGCCCCCGACACCCAGTGCCCCCGACACCCTGTACCCCCGACACCCAGCGCCCCCGACACCCTGTACCCCCGACACCCTGTGCCCCCGACACCCTGTACCCCCGACACCCCGTACTCCCGACATCCAGTGCCCCCCGACACCCAGCGCCCCCGACACCCTGTACCTCCGACACCCTGTGCCCCCGACACCCTGTACCCCCGACACCCAGTGCCCCCCGGTGCCCCCGACACCCTGTGCCCCCGACACCCAGTGTCCCCAACACCTGGTGTTCCTGACACCCTGTGCCTCCGACACCCAGTGCCCCCCGGTGCCCCCGACACCCTGTACTCCCGACACCCTGTACCTCCGACACTCGATGCCCCCCACACCCTGTACCCCCGACACCCTGTACCCCCGACACCCTGTGCCCCCGACACCCAGTGCCCCCGACACCCAGTGCCCCCGACACCCTGTACCCCCGACACCCAGTGCCCCCCGGTGCCCCCGACACCCTGTGCCCCCGACACCCTGTACCCCCGACACCCAGTGCCCCCCGGTGCCCCCGACACCCTGTGCCCCCGACACCCTGTACCCCCGACACCCGGTGCCCCCGACACCCGGTGCAGGTGATTCAGTCCAACAGAGGGAAGTGCGCTCCTGCAGGAGGAAGTGTGCGCGGCTGGGACGGAGCGGGGTGAGGAGGCGGGGAGGGGCTGGCGCGGCCGTGCTGGGGGGGGGGGGAGGGGAAAGAAAGAAAACACATCTTGGCTTCTGAGGAAAGGAGCCGGGGCCCGAGATTTCAGTAAAACTGCTGTCAGACACAGAGAAGGACATTGTGTGTCGGTCAAAGGGTCGATGGGTGGACGGAATGGAACAGTTACAGACAGCTGTGCGTGTGCCCACCCCGGCAGGTCCCTGTTGGCACTGAACCCCCGGAGCAGTGCCCCCGGGCAGCGGGCGGGGGACCAGCAGGAGCAGGAGGGACGGACGGCGCTGAATGCCCACACAGGGCTGGTCCCCGAGCGGCTTCCCGCAGGCCTCGGGGTTAAGCAGGGGCAGCCCGGCCGGAGGGGCGCGGGGGCCGAGCGTGGACCTGTGAGCCAGGAGGTCAGGGTTCGATTCCCGGTCAGGCACAGGCCTGGGGTGCGGGCTCCATCCCCAGTGAGGGGCGTGCAGGAGGCAGCTGATCTGTGATTCTCTCTCATCACTGATGTTCCCTCTCTCCCTCTCCCTTCCTCTCTCTAAAAACCAATTAAAAATATTTTTAAAAGAACAATAATAACAACAACGATGGGGCAGAGTTTAGACCAACATGGGAAGAGCCCCAAGGAAGAGCAGAAAAGCAGCTGCTGGACATACGTGTTGTATGAAGCCCCAGGAGGCCCCACACTGAAGCCTGTCTTCCTGTCGCCGCACCCGCACCCGGTGTTTCTCCCCCTTCCTCTCTGAAACCAGCAAGAACGTGTGTGTGAGGCAGAGGCTGAGGAAGTGATGGTGTTAACGACGGGGTCAGACAAAGGGGGGCACGCACGCTCCTGGCAGAGGCTCCGGCGGGTTATAGGTTTGGAGGGACCTTCAGACCCCTTGGTCCCCCGCCGACAAGCAGCCCACGCCTGGGCCACGTGTGTGCCTGTGAGCGGGTGCCCTGGCAGGTGGGGGCTGGCTCAGGCTCGGGAGGAGGCCAGTGTCCCCCCTACAGGCAGGAGGGGCAGGGCCGCTCCGGGTCCGGGTCCGGGTCCGAGGCCGCGGCCGGTGGGCGGCGGGCACGCTCACCTGCTGCCATGAGTCACGGCGCCGCGAACAGGAAACGAGGGCGTGCCGGGCGCAGGCTGACTCAGGCAGCCTTTCGGGGCCTCTGGCCGGTCTCGGGGGGCCCGCTCTCCGGGGGAACAGCCCAAACCCCACCACGGCAACCCGCTCTGTGGGGAGCCCCTCGACCCGCCCGGACCCGGGTTTGGACTGAAACAGAACCGGGCCGTGTCTGGGCCGAGGAGGCGCACGCCCCCCCCCCCCCCCCCCGGAGGCAGGCGGGGTCTGCGGGGAGCTCGGTGCGTGTGGTTCACCCGCAGCCACGGGGCTGGTGACGAGGGCGGTGCAGCCCCGGGGAGGGGGAGGGGGAGGAGCCCGGGGCCACACGCACGCCCAGCAGTGAGGCCCGCCCGCACCCACGGAGCAGCATCGCGGGAGCAAGGCCGCAGCCCCGAGGGCGCCCCACACCCCGAGGGTGCGGACCCCGGGGCTCAGGCCAGAGGCGGCAGGCGGAGCCCGGATTTCGGCGAAAACACAGGCGGGACCACGTTCAGGGGAGCAGGGCGGCCCCTACGCCCGGGCCGTCCCCGTGAGGAACGTGGAGTCTGGAACGCTCCCCGGACCCCAGGGCACCCGCTCCAGAAACTAGCCAGGAACGGGGTCAGGGCCGGGCCTGCTGCTCCCCGCCCCCAGTGTCCGCTGAACCCCGAGATCGGGGCGAGGGGCGGCCCAAAGGGAGACCCCGCTTCGTGCAGAAGCGTCACCGTGGGGTGTGGACGCCGGCCGGCAGGGCTGCGAGGCCCCCGGCATCTGCTGTCCTCCTCCCCCTCCCCGCCCCCGCAGCTCTCACCCCCGCCCCCCTCCGAGCGGCCGGGTGGGGAGCCTGGCCCCCACGGCATCTGCTGTCGCCCCCCCAGCTCTCACCCCCGCCCCCCTCCGAGCGGCCGGGCGGGAGGCAGGGCCCTCTCCATCCTGCTCCGGAGACAAACCCAGGACACGGCAGCCGCGGACAGTGACAGCCCACCATGGAGGTAGCTGGCTCCCAGCAGCTTCTGAGAGTGAAGACGGAGCTGGGGAGAGGGCGGCTGTGTTATTCAGCGGGACGGAACCCTGAGCCACCCGGATCGGGACCACTGGACCGGGATGACCCGGACCGGGACCAACTGGACCAGGACCACCCGGACTGGGACCAACCGGACCGGGACCAACCGGACCGAAACCACCGGACTGGGACCAACCAGGCCAGGACCAACCGGGCCGGGACCACCCGGACTGGGATCAACCGGACCGGGACCACCGGACTGAGACCAACCAGACCGGGACCAACCGGACCGGGACCAACCACGCCAACTGGGCCGGGACCACCCGGACCGGGATCAACCGGACCGGGACCACCGGACCGGGACCAACCAGGACCAAATGTGTTGGGACCAACTGGGCCTGGACCACCTGGGCCCGGACCCGTTTAAAACAGCCTGGGCCGTTTCTTTGCAGCAGCTTCAGGGAGTCAGCCCTACACCGACGCCGGACGGGCACCGGTTTCACTTCACACGGTCGGTCCCTGAAGTAACTGTTCCCGAACCCAGGTGCCAGCGCGGGGCTGTGCCCTGGGGCCACGGGGGGGGGGCGGCCCCTGGGCTGCTGTGTGCGTGTCAGCGAGAGCCGCACACGGCCCCCCGGCGCCATCGGCAGCCCTGACGCCTCACACGGCCCCCGGGCGCCATCGGCAGCCCTGACGCCGCACACGGCCCCCGGGCGCCATCGGCAGCCCTGACGTCCCACACGGCCCCCGGGCGCCATCGGCAGCCCTGACGCCGCACACGCCCCCCGGCGCCATCGGCAGCCCTGACGCCGCACACGCCCCCCGGCGCCATCGGCAGCCCTGACGTCCCACACGGCCCCCGGGCGCCATCGGCAGCCCTGACGCCGCACACGCCCCCGGGCGCCATCGGCAGCCCTGACGCCGCACACGCCCCCCGGCGCCATCGGCAGCCCTGACGCCTCACACGGCCCCCCGGCGCCATCGGCAGCCCTGACGTCCCACACGGCCCCCGGGCGCCATCGGCAGCCCTGGGCACAGGAGGCCCGAGTGACTGTCGCCACACAGCACACAGGAGCTCGGGCGGAGACAGGGAACACGCGTGTGGTCCGTGCCTGTGCGGTTCAGGGCAGGCGGGGGAGGGGTCACCGGCTCAGGGTGCACAGTCCTCTCCTCCGACCGGGGGTCCCCCCACATCCCCAGCGGGGTGCCCCGACCGCTCTGACGGGGACGCTGCCCGAGAACGTGTCCTTCAGGCGGGGCCGGCAGGCCTGGGGCAGCGGAGACGGGAGCACCGCCTGCCACAAAGCGTTTCTACGGGTCAGAGGACGGGAGAGACTCGGTGATGAGGGTCACTGACCGGCTGCCTCCCGACGCCCCTGCGGGGACCGGCCGCCCCCAGCCTGTGCCCCCGGGATCCACCCTGGCCTCCTGCTCCTCGGGGCGCTCAGCCCACGGGATCCAGCCACGTCCTCCTCAGCCCCGACCCTGCTGTTTCCCTCTCATAAAGGGGGTCATGGCCCACGCCAGCCAGGCACCCCGACTCTCCCCTCCACCAACCACAGCCCGTGCCCGCCGGCCGGCCGAGCAGTTCCTTCAGACGCCCATGTTCCCGGCGGCCCCTCCGCCAAGGGGCTGAGTCCCACCGGCCCCGCCCTCAGGGGCGTGGGTGCGGCTCCAGCGCCCCCCGGAACAGGCCGCCCGAGAACAGGACACCCGGGGACAGGACGCCCGGGGACAGGCCGCCCGGAACAGGCCGCCTGGGACAGGCCGCCCGGGGACAGGACACCCGGGGACAGGACGCCCGGGGACAGGCGGTGAGCGCGCCCGGGGACAGGACGCCTGGGAACAGGCCGCCCGGGAACAGGCCGCCTGGGGACAGGCCGCCCGGGGACAGGCCGCCCGGGAACAGGCTGCCCGGGGACAGGCCGCCTGGGGACAGGACGCCCGGGGACAGGCCGCCCGGGGACAGGCCGCCCGGGGACAGGACACCCGGGGACAGGACGCCCGGGGACAGGCGGTGAGCGCGCCCGGGGACAGGCCGCCTGGGGACAGGACGCCCGGGGACAGGCCGCCCGGGGACAGGCCGCCCGGGGACAGGCCGCCCGGGGACAGGCCGCCCGGGGACAGGACGCCCGGGGACAGGACGCCCGGGGACAGGCCGCCCGGGGACAGGCCGCCCGGGGACAGGCCGCCCGGGGACAGGACGCCCGGGGACAGGACGCCCGGGGACAGGCCGCCCGGGGACAGGCCGCCCGGGAACAGGCCGCCTGGGGACAGGCCGCCCGGGGACAGGACGCCCGGGGACAGGCGGTGAGCGCGCTCGGGGACAGGCCGCCCGGGGACAGGCCGCCTGGGGACAGGCCGCCCGGGAACAGGACACCCGGGGACAGGATGCCCGGGGACAGGCTGCCCGGGAACAGGCCGCCCGGGGACAGGCGGTGAGCGTGCTCGGGGACAGACACCATGCAGGGCCGGGCAGGCTGGCGCCGTCGCCTCTGCCCGGAGCTCCAGCCAGGTCCCCGCCATCGGGGGTCAGTGCACGTCACCACAGCGAGGGGCGGGGCCCCCTGCCCGGCCCCTGCCACACGGTCCCTCACACTCTGGGTGCCGAGGCTGGCGGTGGGAACACAGGCCCTGCTCCCCTCAGCGAGGCGCCGAGCGGGGAGGGCACGCTCTCCTGGAAGCAGTGGGCAGGCGGCTCCGAGGTCAGTGGCTCCCCCCGTTTATCTGCACCCCGACCGCCGCCCTGGGAGAAGGGCCCCTCACCTCGCTTTGGCGACATGCACGTCGGTGAGGAGGGTGCACAGCCAGTCCGAGGTCACGGAGGAGCACCGAGGAG